ATATATATATATATATATATATATATATATATACATATGGTATCAGAATTTTTGATTTCATATTTGAAAAAAAAATAGAAAGACCTAAATAAGGTCCACATCGAGGGATAAAATGTTTGATAAGATCGACTTGTTGCTTGAGAAATCCTTCTTATTGTTTTTTACCCAGCCCAAAACCCTTTGTTTGGACGCAAACCTTTCTCCCACATTATTTTCCAATCCTTCTGGATCTGAAGTAATTTTAAATAGATTCAAGAGTGGCTTCACTATACACCATCCTCTGAATAAACTTCTACACGCGTGCACGTACACTGCGTTATACACACTCCAATCCCCAAACGGTGAAGTACCCTTATAGTGAAAGCACGACCGTGTCGCGTTCCCCTTTATCGTGCGTTGCCATGGCGACTTCCTCGATTTTAGACCTTAGCAAAAAATGGTTTATGGTTTCCCTTCCATTGCACGCATGCAGTCTGAAAGATATCGCCAACACCACGACATCCAAGGAAGGGATGGATGCCCTCTACCTGGAGGCCCAGTCGATCTTGGACGATGAGCGCAATCAAAGTCAGATGGATCGCGGCCATTGGTATAACGCGCAGTTTCTAAAACGCGGCACCATCGCAGACAAAATCGCCTCGGCGGCGGTGAAACTCGCGGATACCGATTTTATGTTCTTTTTGGACGGCTTCAACCTGCTTTTTGATACCGCGCGGACGGATGCGCACCACTACGAGGCGGCCCTCAAGGCGCTTGCCGCGGTCTGGACGAAACTCCTCCCACCCCGCCCGCTCAAGCGCTTTGTTTCGCAGTACTTCGCGACGCTTCCCACCGACGCGGCGGGGCGAAGGCGGGTTTTGGTGTATTGGTACCTGGAGGACTACCTAAAGCGCACCTACGCGCAGTTTCTCTCGCTGTGCGCGACGATGCTGACGGATCGCCTTCACCAGCGCCGCGCGGCGTGGCTGGAGGTGGTGGGGAAACTTCTCTGCGCCGTCGCGGAGGCCCGCGGCGTGGCCGCCGCGATGATGATGGACAAACTGGGCGATCCCAGCGCGCACATGAGCCATCACGCCTACCACCACATCCTCAAGCTCCTGTCGGAGTCGTCGATGCACCAGGCGATGCTGCTTACCGAGCTGGAAAAGGTCGTTTTGCGGTCGAACTGCCCCCCCCAGACGATGCGATACGTGGCGAATATCATGAACCAACTCGTCTTTAGCAAGGAGGAGCGAAAATTGGCGCTGCGGTGCATGCAGATTTACCTTTCGCTGTTTCGCCAGCTCGTGTACACCGGGAAGATCGACTCCCGGGTCTCGATGGCGATCATCGTCGGTTTACGGCGGGCTTTCCCCTATACCGGCACTGATATCGCCCCGCTTGAGGAGCATTTAAACGCCTTGTACGTGGTTGCCAACGTGGGGACCTTCCAAGAGCGCGTCGCGACGCTGTCCCTGCTTCACCTGTTGGTCCTCCAAAAAGGCGCGAAGGAGACGTTCCAGAACCGGTGGTATCGCGCCCTCTATCGGCTGCTTTTGGCCTCCCCCAAACAACTCCCGCAATCCACGCAGCTGAGCAATTTCTTCTCCATGCTCCATAAAGCCATCGGGGCGGATTCCAACACGGACCGGGTGGCGGCCTTCGTGCACCGTCTTCTCCAGCGCGCCGCCTACCTCAGCGATGCGGTCGTCTGCGCCGTCCTTTTGCTCGTGGGCGAGATGGCGAACACCCACGACGCGGTGCGGGCCTTAATTCGCCGGCCGGTCGAGGGATTGGGGCACGCCACGGGGCCGACGTCCTTGCGGGGCGAGGGCCTTCGCTATGACCCCAAGGCGCGCGATCCGCAATTCGCGCGGGCCCGCTCGGAGTGTCTTTGGACCCT